AGTGACACAACACAATATTGAAAGATAATGCCTTCATTAGGTATATGCCCAACGTGGCTATATTTGACAGGCTTTAGCGCAAACTATTCAAGCCAGCCGACTCGTAATTAGCGATAAGATGTTGGGATGTATTCTATTACGAAAAGTGTTCGAACATTTGTCGGTATCGAATTGGTTGTTATAAAACCATATACCGGTTATGTTTACAATGTTAGCATACAATAAGCTTGTGGACGTAAAAAGTTTTTTCGATTGTGAAACTTGCTCACAATCTCAAATGCGTTGATTATCTTCTTAGTATATAACAATAATTGATGAGTCGTTATGTGGCAAACGTCAATAAACTCGTATGTGTAACAGGGGTCTTTGATAGCTTTTTTCTCCTTGCTTTATTATGATTATAAATGTCGTCAATGTTTACAAAGGAAAATGGCAAGGATAAAACGTTACGTTTCATGTATTACCGATCACATTTTATAATATTGGCAATTCTGCACAACTTGCATTCTCACGACATCAAAGTTAAAATTTAAAAAAAGAAGCTAGTTCTGCCGCGCTAATCATTGTGCTTGCTAGTACAATAACGAAAATGTTTGCAAACGGCTTAATATTGTGTCGTTAAGGAAACGAAATACGTTTTATACGAGTAGTACAATAGTGTTGGAGGGGGATTTATTGTCCATCTATTTTCGCACAATGGCTTGAGTAACAATGGCGCACATTCACTGGCCATAATTGGTTACCATACGACATACGATCTTCAAATCTTGGTCCGTACTCCGGTATTTTCATGTACAGAACAAAATGTAATGGTTTGAACATAAAGTGTTAACAAACTCGTTTATGGGTATAAAATAATATATTCCACATATTTTAATCTGAAACAGTACTGGGGAACGCCTTGAGAAACGTACAATCTGCCCATTCGTCGATTTCCATCGTTTGTTTTGCAGCTGTCTTTTTTAGTTAATAGAATTATCCATAATCCTATCGACAAGGACCGACGCTCAGCTTTTTACAAACGTTCCATGCTTATCGCAATGCAGATTAATAAACGCCGCAAGAAAATTTGTAAGGACAATTAAGTCTGCAACTGCATATGAAAGAGGGTAGACTCATGCATTGCTTTGAATTTTGGATTGAATGGGAATAATTTTAGTAAATACAAATGTGCCTCGACGGCGAAATTGGCCGACCACAATCGAATATATCGATTTTTAACAAAGAGGTTCGGCGATAAGGGTATTACAATGTCCATCCCGTATATACTGCAAACAGTATGTTCTCTTTCTTCGACGCCTAACCTTATTTGCTATAATATATTTTTTAAATTGATTGTTATAATGGAAAAAGACATTGGGAATGTATGCAATATGCAACTTCAAATCATATAACATACATTATACCGTACGTTATCCTGACATTACAGACTTGCAATATAACGAACACAATCAGTTCAGATGAATACGAGATAGGAAACCACTAGACTGTTTTACTGTCAGTGATTGGCCCGTATAACAATGTACAATCGAGGCCATGTGATTACCCGTTGTCTGCACTTGCCAGTTTAGCTAATCATGGGTTCGTTTAGCTTCATGGTACTATAGTGAAATGGAAGAGTGATAGAAATGTTCTGACTGAAAATACCACAAATAGTTATTAAAGTTTAAGCTAATGTTTATTTATAATTTAATACAAATCACAACGATAAGTTAATTGTGGAAAATGTTTATGTGTACAATGTAAACGTTGTATTATATATTATATATATTGCTATATACGTGTATATGTGTAGATATATGTCAACAGTTAGAAATACCATCAGAATAATTATATGCTGAATGTTCGAATACATAAAAAGGCGCAAGTTCATACCCGACCGTTGAATGTGAACCAATGTTTTCGTCTATCGGTATCGGTGCAAGTGCAATCATCTGTGGTAAGTATAAATTCTCCTGGGGAAAAACCGACGGTTGACCGTTGTAAATTTCGAAATGATTGCACAGCTGTTGTGTCTGAATGTTGCTAGAGTTATCTACCTCATCAGTAAGTTTGGCCGATTCGAATAGGAAATCGGGTAACGTCCTCACTTCATCTGATGGCGTGGGAGGACAAAAGTTGCTATCTTGGTTGTTTAAATGTTGTGCCAAAAGAATTGTTGGGGCGCGAATGCCCTCGTCAAAAAAATTTCCTGAATTGTAATTACATCCAAATTGGTGATCGGATAACGTATCTAGCGGGGCAGGACTAGAGTCGGTAGTATTTAAGCATTGTGTTGACGGAGGTCGAATGTTGGTAGTACCCTCGCCATTAGTATCTACTGAACTGGAATGTAATCCAAGCTGGCTATCGGCTAACGCATCTGACGGAGTAGAAGAACAAGGGTCGACGGTGTCTTTTCTCTTGTTTAAATGTTTTGGTGTAGGAGATTTAAGTTCCTTCAATTTTTTTGAACTTTTTTTTGGGCTTTGCGGATTATATATTTTAAATTCATAATTATTAGGTTTTTCGTCTGCAAGTCCCTCATATATGTCTGTGTAATGCTTTTTAAGAACAGCATCGGCCGTTTTCCAACATTCGCGACTCACAGATGAGGCCTTTCCAACAGTACATTTAAGCGAACGTTGGACATCACTTCTGAAAATGAGATACGGATTTGGGGTTCTCTTGTAGCTTTTATTAGCAAGTTTCTATAATTACGACAATTGAAGAAGAAAGTAATTAAATGTTAGCGTATTATACAGGGAAATTTTTTATAAAATCTCTTTTCAGCGTCAATACATAGCATAGATAGATTTAATTTAAACATTTCACGTAATTTAAGCGTTAAGTGTCAATTGTATATCAAAAAAAAAAATCAAAAACGAACTAGGCGAGTTATTCGTTGCGAGACTGTATGAAGTAACTTGTAGAACAGGTAATTTTGTCAACAAGGAATAAACGAAAAGTAAAAAATTATAAACTCACTTCTTGTAGTGTGATGATTTTAAGTTCGTGTACTTGAGTTGGTGAAACTTCTATTAGATATGACAAATTATCGATGCGTAAAAATCTCATGTTGTGGTCGGTGTTGCAAAAGAAAACTAAGCTAAGGAAGCTGAACGAACAAGGACAACGAGCCGTTTTTATAAAAAATTCATGTTACACCCGCATTATGATAATTTAATTTATATGCTCAATTAAAATGCTATTGTACTTTAATACACATATACGTTCAATACAAGGATAATTATCAACAATAAGAACAGGATGAGCTGTGTAACCTCACCGGGCTTCAACTCCGACCAAATTGTGCGACATACAAAGTCGGATTTTAAAGTATCACGTATATATGTTCGTGCGCAAATGACCTTAGATCGATCTCTGATTGTACAAAGATGGAGATAAAAAAGTCAGATGTTGGGTCACGTTCATGCTCACGGTATCAAACTTTGACAAGTATGGTTTGCATATTCTCACACAAAAGTTTTACCGATAAAGAGTGACCGCAAATTTTTCCCATTAATTGCTTGTCGATTGTTTAACGAGTTTTATTGGGTACGGCTTTTGGCTGGACAACAATGACAGAAACCAACCGGAAAGCAATATACAGAATTAAACTCATTTACAATACAGGAATTGAGATGGAGGGTAGTTAAATATGGTACTTAAGACAAAGGGGGGGGGGAGGAGTGTGGAGGGGGAGTAACAACAAGAATATGTTAAGTCAGCCACAGAGAAGTGAATGATAAGGAAAAAACGTGGAACATTCTGATAGGTTTTTACAAACAATATTGAATCGCGCTCATATTTAAAATATAAATAAAAGATGGTTTGAAAATTGAGAACGGCGATGACGACACTTGTTTTAGTACTAATACCAACACTATTACCATTATCATTCTCATTCTCATTATTATCGTTCTCACTACCTACGAACTTGACCCCTACAACATCTTATCAATGCTGCACCACTTTAATACCGACAACAACGGAACAACAAAATGATAACAACAACAGAACAACAAAATGACAGCAACAGAAACAATTGTGAACACCGCATTATCAATAAAACCCTAAGCAAATTATTTGTAGACACGTGTAGCCGTACGCGTCGTCCGATCCCCGATGCATCATGATACGAATAAAGAAATTAATTGAATAAGGATTTCTGTCAGTCGTTCCCGTGAGCACATTGCATAATCTCTTTGCATGTAATTTGCATGAAAACCAAATGTCGCTGTTTTATTGTAATTGCGCTTTTATGTTGTTTTTTATATGCAATTACTCAAAGACAAGAAAAGAAATGTCACAAACGCCATTGTATGCGTACATTCTCGGGTATTCGTTTCATAACATTGTTTTTACTCTCCGCGATAGCAGGTTGTGGATGTGGCATTCGTCGAGGGAGGCAGACTATAAAATTGTTCGATACGGCAAATGCTATATCAGTTATTAGTAACCGAGTTTCTGATACATACGTCTCCCGGCAATATATGTGTTCACAGTGTGAGTTATACATGCTGGTTATATGTTACAGCCTAGACAAAGAAAACCAACTACTCTCAGTTATATTTAACTCCACGCCTAATTAATAAACAAAGATATAATAGCAGCTCTGTATACGTACGTTATTTGTCTCCTTCCTTGCTTTCATAGTGTCGTTTAACTCGCAGCGCTTCCAATTTCAACGTCAAACTCGGTTACGAATTCGCTTATTGTATTCAAAACGTTACTTTCACGCTTGACGAACTAGAAAAGCTTGCTAGTTTCAGAGTCGTTAATAAAGATTTGATGTTGATGCAAGTCTTTATTTTTTGTGCTTGGTAATGTTAGTCTAGTCCGTCACATAATTTGCACATTGCGTCTGTAAGCATTTAACGATAGTGTTCATGCGGTACGTTTAGTATATGACCTGCACACATTGGACACCCGGGTAAATGAGTGACAAATTGCAAACAGCGACAAAATATTCAAAGTCAAAGACCACATCGCATCGGCAAACTCTTTAAAATGGCAGTTTTTACGCAGCAGACTCGTTGAAGATAATGACTTTATCCATCAAAAGGTATGATGGAACGATTTATTTCTGACTGCATTGACGGTGGTATTCTCATGACCAATGTTTTAAACTCAATTTATAATCATCATTTGATTTTTAGTTTCAATTTCTTCTTTAACTTGTGGAAATTTTATTCCGGTTGATGCAGTCAAAACCATGCCATCTTGCCATCGTTACTGTCTCAACAAACATCAATGTTACTGTGACGTTCACAAGTATGCTAATCAATGTCTATTAGAGTTTAGCACTGTTAATCGTTATTGGTCGAACTTTGTCCATTGTAGTTATTACAGCTTTGTATGGCTATGTTGACGATTAAACCAGGTATTTGAAAAAGCTTTCAACCAACCATGGCATAGATGAAAACAGTGCGACATTTTGTCTGTCAACCAAAAGAAAAAAGCTTCATTCGTTCCTTGCCAAAGTTCTCTTTGTCAGTTGACTTGTAGTAATTGACACAAGTAAGACGGAGGATTGTACTCGTGACCAATTTATAGATATCACTCTTGCATACAACTAAGAAGGCCTATCTCATACGTTCTCAATCCTCAAGCTCCCCTCACCTTTTCTTGTAAAAACTATTGAAATCAGACCCAGTGACTATTGTCAATTAGAAAACACACAATTCTGTACACAAGTCCAGATGTAGTCGTTCTATTGTTCTCGGGGAATTTGCCCTGCTCCCACAGTGTTCTCATTTTTCTCGAAACGTTCTGTTGTTCGATTGATTGCCATTGTCCTTTCTTTTATGAGTCCATCTAGAGCTAGCAGCTGATGGCAGATGAACGACGCAGATGGAAGCTTGTGTTACAAATATTACTGTCAACAACATTATCTAACCGCTGTATGAGAAATGTTTTCAGTCAAAGGAAAGCAAGCAAAAGGCGAAGCACATCCCATGATATAATATTTTGTCGACTTGGATGAATCGTAGCACAGCCAGGTCCCCGACTCTTGTGTATCTATGAGTAAGGTCATTTGTTCCTTGACGAGTGGGCGTTTTTTTTCCATCGTTTCTTTGTGCAGATAATTTTGGTTTACCTATCTGCAATGCGATAGCTCCCTATCGTATTTAGTGTCTAGGCGAGTTGATCGGAAATTTCTTGTGGCTTAAATATTGCAATATCTTTCATGTGATTATAATGCAGGTGGAATTGTTAAAATGGGTTTCGCATATATTAACCACAATCGAGTGTATATTGTTCACATACACACATACACACATTCATGCATGGGGAATTCTTTACTTTCGCAAACGTCACCTGGTGACCCAAATTCTAATCAGATGATCAACTTCTTCATGTATTAAATCCCCTATCACGATGTTACTAATACAGCCTTTGCTATAAGATACGTCCCGATGAATACACGTAGACAGTCTTGTTGATCTCCAATGTTTGTATTTGGGGACCCCTCATTACATAATGTATATATACTAATCAATATATTCGCAAATGTTAAAGAATTGTGAACAATATTATTGTACAAGTCGACAATGTATTCGGCTTAACCGTCTCGACCACTTGTTATCGCTACAAAAGTGTCTAATGAAACATTCCATTAAAAAAAAAAAAGGAATGCAAAAACCTGATATAAGATACCTCGTGATATATGGTTGGGCCAGTGTGCAACTCTAATAAGATTCGGGAATGGTGGAACCTTTTGTCGTATTGTCTGCATATACACAGTAAAGGGACGGTTTAATAAAGTGCACCATTCCATTGTCAATGCATACTAATTTCTTGATGCAAAATAACAACTCCCTGTGTATCGAAGTATTAGCATTAACCCTGCTTTAAAGGAATGAAACTTAGAACAATTGTTTAGGTCAACGTATACATTATTAAGATTAATATTGTTACTTTACGAACAATACATATTTCAAAGAAAGATATTATTTATGTTACTAATTATACCCATGTGATAACAATAGCTATACCAATAGAAATGACGTTCTACTATAAAAGCAGTAATAGTAATAGTAAAGGGTTTGTATTAGCTACTGCGAATGTTTGTGTTGCATGTTGATTGGCTGGCAAAAAAACACAGGATAAACAACACATGCATGTCCATTTACCGTGACTAGCGAGAATTGTCTAAGTGCAATTACAAATTCCAGAGCGTATAAATCATTATATTCTGCTTAGAAAGACTATGTGGCGTTTGTCATTAGAAATCACGAGATACCAACCCTAATAAAAAAGACGACGATTCAATATTTTGGTGTCAACATCTGTTGATTATACTTAATATCTGAATGAATGAATAATAATACCAACAATGAGCATATCTTTACTGATTCGGGTGTTGGGGCTTTTTTTTTTTTTTTTGCATCAAAAAAGCATCTAGAAGATGATAATAAGCTGACATCGTTCGGCGGCAAGTGCGAAAACGTTACGCAAATCTATTTGCTTATCATGTGTACGAACTCTGGCTTACCACCTTATTATGACTGAAGTTAAAAAGACCTCGTCGTGCAAGTGTGCATTTACCATTTCTGTATAGATAATTTCGACGAAAGCGATGCATAAGGGAAGTAAATTATTCGATATTTGCGAATCATCGTGACATAAAGACATCTTAAACTTATGCAGCAGCAGAATGATTTTTTTAATACCTCCTTCAGGTGAGATTTCTCGAAAATGTAATCTAATGAAGCTTGTAAACTTGACGTATAATATCGATTTTGATTAACAGGGGTGTTTACTTTCACGAAGAAAAGTGTTAGATAATTTGTTGATTGTAAAGAATATATATTATTAGCTTTACATTCAAGCATGTGATAAATTTTCCGTGGAAAAAGGTTTAAGCGTAGAATACCATTATTGAGCGAGTATGCTATTTATCAATATGATAACAAAAAGTTGAAGTTATATTACGCTACGTGAAATACAGCTATTCTATTAGGATAAAGATATGGTATAGTATTATTTCGCATTAAACAATCCTACGACATCTTATTGCAGAAACCCAAACGGCTTCTCTTATAGAACACTTGTCAACCAAGTCAAAATAT